CCCTCTTCTCAATTACAGGGGTATTAATTTGGCTTCCTTAGCTATAGATGGGAGATATTTATGTGTGTAAAGAAATTTGGGTTTTGTGAATGCTACTTCCAAAATAAGCCAGGAGTTGAATGTCAGAAAACACTACGGGGTAATAAGCATTTGGGGGTTTGAGAATCTGTGAAAAAAAAAATCTGAGCCACGGCTCAGCAAAAGCCAGAGAGATTTGGAATTAATTAAGAGCAGCAACTGGGAGAGCAGCCGTTTATGGAAGCAGATTTGAACCAGACATCCTGGAGGCCAGCTTCAAAGATGGCTGAGAGTTTAGCTGACTTTGCAGAATGCAGGATGAAAGTAAGAAGCAAGGGTTATGCCCCCAATTGCATACAATATGTTCTTACCACATCTCCAATGTTTTCTGCCCGAACCAGGTTTGTACCATCAAGAATCTATTTCCATTTTTTTTTTGTGACATCCTCAAGCTCTCTTTTTCTAGAAGCCAACAGAGTCATGCACCAGGAACTGTTTACTACACTGAACAGAACTGAATATTTGATTATCTCCAGGATGATATGGGTGACTCGGAGGGGAGGAACAGATATGCACGACAGAATTTCATCCCTTTATCATTGCAGCAATAGTGACCATAATGACCAGAGGAAAACGTGTTCTTAAGAGCAGAGAAAATTGCTCAAGACAAGCCCTTAGGGGAACAGCAGACACTTTTTAGCCCGAGGCTGGCTAAACAACAGCAAGCCCAAAGGCAGAAAGTATGTAGAACTTAATTATGTACTTCCTAGCTACACTTAGTTATGTCACAGTCAGCACTGCAAAATAAGCACTGCTATCCTCAAAGGACAAGTGAAAAGGACAGGTGAGGGTGCCACTTCTCCGTTCTGGAGGCAATGCAGAGAGGTGGAATGAGAAACCAGTCACATCAGCTCTTCAAGATGTTCTGTCTTCTCCACACTGTGTGTACTGTACATGTGTGTACTGTGTACACTGTGTAATTTGTATACTGTGCACTGTGTGTACCGTGCACTGTGTATATTGTGTATTGTGTGTACTGTGCACTGTGTGTAGTGTGCATTCTGTATTGTGCACTGTGTGCTATGCACTGTATATACTGTGCACTGTGTGTACTATGCATTATGTGCTATGCACTGTGTGTACCATGCACTGTGTATATTGTGTATTGTGTGTACTGTGCACTGTGTGTACTGTGTAAACTGTGCACTATGTGTACTGTGCTCTGTGTATGCTGTGCACTGTGTATACTGTGTACTGTGTATGCTGTGTACTGTGCACCATGTGTATTGTGTATACTGTGACCTGTGTGTACTGTGTATACTGTAAACTGTGTATACTGTGCACTGTGTGTATTGGGCACTGTGTATGCTGTGCAATGTGTGTGGTGTGTACTGTGTTTACTGTGAACTGTATATGCAGTGCACTGTGTATGCTGTGTGCTGTGTATGCTGTGTACTGTGTATGCAGTGCACTGTGTATGCTGTGTGCTGTGTATACACTGCAATGTGTATGTTGTGTACTGTGTATACACTGCAATGTGTATGCTGTGCACTGTGTATGCTGTGCACTGCGTGTACTGTGAACTTTGTTTATTGTGCACTGTGTATACCGTTCACTGAGTCATTAAAGGTTGGTTTTACTGTGTAATGTATTTTTCTTTGGATAGTATGTCACCCTTAACATATGCATCTATATCCAAATTTATTTATGTAGAAATTTGCTACTATGCAAACATCTTACATGCGTTTAATAAAACTATAGCTTACTCACATGCACACAACACAAATTCAAATAGCTTTCAAAATAATCATATATATCTACCCATGCACATAAATTACATCTTCATATCATCTTTGAAACATAAGTGCAAGTTTGCCAAATTGTGGATTCAGTAAAAATAATGAGTTTTTGAGGGTGTACTTTGTTTAAATCCCCTCTCTAATGTGTCTGTGTTTAGATATTTTATGTCTCTTCATTCCAGAAGTATTTTACTTTCCTGATGAAAAGCTACTTTAATAGTTTTGACAAATGAAGTAACCACAAAAGTCATCAGCTGCTTCTCAGTAAACAAAATAAGCAGTTTCAAAGTTTGAAACTGTCAAAAAAGACCTTCTTCATTGAAGATGTGTCTTGGATTGGACAAGTGACAGCGAGAACACTCTATGCTTTTGTTATCCAGAACGTTACCTGCTTAACATCCCTGAATCTCTACCTAAGCTGGCCTGGTTTGTCTTTGAGGACGGGATCCCTGAAAGCCAGGACTTCTAAAGATCAAAAGGCCTTCATGAAATGTCTTATACAAAACTGACTGAATATATGACAGCTGCCAGAGCGACCACCAGATAACCTCTAACATTATGTAATCTAGCTGTATTCTAAGTAAGCATGCCTTGGTGCCACCACAGTTGACATTTCCATGATGAGAACCATAAAACAATCTAAAAGAGAGAGAGAGAAAGAGGTGGCCAGTGAACTCCTGGAAGAAATCTATGCTTACTGTTGGGCCCGAATATGATATTTCGAATATAGGCCTCAGCTCAATTCCAGAGCTTGAATCTTCTCCTATTGTCTTTTAGATGTCCACTGGTTACCTCCTGATGGCCTTGCCACACTGGAGAATGGCTTGTAGTTTGTGTAACAATAGACCCAGGCCCTAGTGGAACACGTGCCAGGGGACTAGCGGGATGTGTCTAAAGACTAGTGAGACACGCCATTATGGAAAGTCTGAGGGCATTCTAGGATTAAATGAAGTGTTTCTTAGTCATCCCTATATACATGATAATAGATGTCTTCTGCCAGTACCACCCCCTCCACCCTCCCTACAACCGCTTTTGGAAAGCTCTTTAAGAGGATACTTGAATAAACCGTGGTCTCCAGTATTGACTGAGAGCCCTCCTGAAATGACAAGATCTCTCTGTCTCATCCTTAATGCCTCTGGGTAGCTATGACTTCCCTGATCCACCATTCCCCACTCAGGGTCGGACCCAGGGCTGTTCAGCTGGTTCCGAACACAACCCTAAAGACATCAGTCCAGAATAGATGGCTCTTGCAGCCTAGGACTGATACTGGTCGGATCTCAGCAACTTACTCTCAGAAGACTAGATATTCCTCTCCTGTATTTAGCCTGTCTCTCACCTTCACTTTCTTTATTCTGCGCCTGTGACCTCAACCTTCAGGGATTCAATAGCTGATTTATAAGTCTCATCTCTGCTCCCATGGCTTCTCAGGTAAAGAACCTTCCTTCATTGCTCAGACAGTGAAGTGTCTTTAGCTCCTGGTTCTGTAACTCCAAGAGAGGTAAGAACTCATCTAATTTGGGTTAAAAAAATGATAATACTTCAAAGAACAGCACACCAGATTTTCTAGACATTAGGCTTCTCTGCAAAGATTTCTAGTTCTTCCTTTGGGACTTGGAGTCAGTGAACTGTAACAATGAGGTCTTGCTTCTGATCAGGGTCATGCCCATGTGATCTGCTATGTTTATTTTGATCTCAGGCATGGCATTTCATGACCACTGGTCAGGAGGTGGCTCCATTAGCCTTGTTTCTTATATGGCAACTAGAGCCTCCAATAGAAACATAAGCTGACACACAGAAAGTTTTTGTTTGGATTTGTGTTTGATTTTTGAGATGTTATCTATGGATGTAGCTCAGAGTTGCCTTGAATTAAAAAATCCTGTATCAGCCTCCCAAGTATTCAGACTCCAGCACATTCTATGAACCTATAAAAAGCAGAGAATAAGCTTTTACATTTTTCACTACAGAGACTTATAAAATGTTTACTAGCACAATATATTCAGACTATCTTAACTATATATATCACAATATCTTTTTGTTTTGCTTTGGTTTTTTTTGTTTGTTTATGAGACAGGATTCTTTATGTGGTACTGGCTGTCCTAGAACTCACTCTGTAGACCAGGCTAGCTTTGAACTCACAGATATCCAATTGCCTTTGCATCCTGAGTGCTGGGAATAAAGGCGTGTGCCACCATGTCCAGCTACAATATCTTATATCATGGTAAAAAAAACCCTTTTTTTCTTAAATCTAGAGACATCAATATCATTTTACATATAACTTATTGCTTTTTATTATTAACTTATGAGTTAATGAGACTTTTAATTAGCTGAAGAAAGCTGAAAAACAAATTTTATTTGTTGCTAACAAATTTAGGTTGTGCACATCGATTACAGGTATACATGGAATCTAAGATATAAATACACATACATATATAAATATATGAGTGTGTGTGTGTGTGTTTTAGGAGCCAGCATAAACACCAGAATTCATGTATAACAAATTTGTAAACTTTCTAAATCTCACAGAATTACATAGTTAGATTTTCTAAGTTTCTTCAGGAAAGGTTGTTTTTATTTATGTCTTTGTTCTAACAATACAAATAATTTGTATAACTTAAGCGTTTGTGACACTGTTTTGACATTTGTAACTTCATTACTGCCTGATAAAATGAGGATGCTTTATTTTCACAACATAAAATATTGGGGCATGGAAGTCTAGGGGTAGACTTGAAAGTATGAATTGTTCTGAAAAAGGAGGGAATATAAAACGTGACAGACCCATGAAATCTAGGGAGAATGAAGATGCCAGGCAAACAGAAGAAATAATTTGTGTTAACTGCTCAGCCAAAAGAAACATCAAGAGAAAAAAATACATATTGAAAAGTTTCTTCTTAGGTAGAAAGCATGTAAGGTGTGAAATTTGTCCAAGGGTCCTTTTACAAACTTCAGAAAAGTCTACTACCATTGAAACCAATCAGATCTTTAAGCCTCTTTGTCAGTTGCTCATGGAATGCAGTATTCACAGATTTGGGAAAACCTGTTTTAATGCAGCAAATTTCTGTTATAAATGACATTAGTTGGAAAAGCCAAAAGCAATACACATTCAACATAGAATCCATGTGCTTTGAGTTTGCCCAGAAAGAAACAATTCCAGAAGCACTAGAGTGGTTAAGTGTCAACACTTACTGCGAGGATGATCTGGAGGGAACTGTGAGCCACTTCTATGTATTGGTACTCCAGAAAACACCCTGAGACAGTAATGTATCGATGGTCTTCTGGGGCCCAGTCTGGGGCAGGCGTCACAGATGTCACCATACATCCTGGTCCATTCTCCATCCACCAAGATCGGTGCATTGAAATATTGAATGTCAGGATAAGGTCTGTTTCCTGAAAGAAGGCAATTTGTAAGGATGAGAACAACTATAAATATTGGTTTATTTGGGATGGACTTGTTTGTGTTTTCTGTTTAAAAGTGTAGGCCCTCCTCATCTTCTAGTGTATGTTATAGGCACTAAAAGAAACAGTTATCATGTGCATGTAAATAATATTTCTGAAGGTTTGACTTACAATAATACTATCAGTTAAATTACTGGTTTTGGAAAAATACCAATCATTTACATTAACTGTAGTATCAGAAAGTCTATTTGGGGACTTGAAACTCATGAAACCAGTTATTTAAACTATATAATTGGGTGAAATTAGTGTCATCATAAATCTGATTCACTTCTTTTCATGCATTTTAGTTTTTCACACTGAATTTCAGTTTGACTACATTTACCTTGGTGTTGAGGCTAATGGCAGGATTTTTAAAGAACTTTCCATAGTAAAATACACTATTACTTGGTTTTTCCCCTTCCTACTAAAGTTGGTCCTGTCTGTTCACATGCAGTTGGTTCTAGGACTTCGCAGATACCAAAATTCGAAGAAGCTCATGTCCTTTATGTTAAAAGACAGCTGGCTGAATAAAACATATAGCCTTTGAATATGGAGGAGGAAACTGTTTCTGCCAATCATTATCTTCAATCTTGTTAACTTCTTTTGCGGATTTGTTCATAACGTTTCTTAGAAAATAATCAGAAAACGCTTACAGGCTAGAGATAGTAAACTCCCAGCCCTTTATATGAACTGGCTGGCACACAATGGAGTTGACTGATTATCCACACTGACAAGAGGGTATCAGTGGCAAGCAGACAGAAAGAAGGCACAGGGAATGCATCAAACACCTTCCACTTCTTAGCAAGCCACAGGGGTGACCAGGGTGACTGTATTTCTTCCATGTAGGTGGTGAGGGGCTGTGCCACAACAGAAGCAAACCACTCTCACTCCAGAGCCAAGTGCTCATCTCCTAGGCAGAGCCAGTAGAGATGATTTTATCTCTGTTTTGTGACCTTGAGCCGCTGACTCACACAGAAAATCCTAAGGATTGAGTCATAGCTGAAGAACTCAGACCCTGAAAGGAAGAGCTCACTGGAGAAAAGTGTACTATGGTGTCACTGTCTTCCATGTAGTGACCAGAGAAAGATGGAAGAGGGTATCTCTTCTTCCTGAGGCTATGGAGAAAAGCTTTAAGCATTCCTTGGTTTTTTGGAGCCCATTCCCTATGGAGAGATTGTTATAATTTTAAAAAAAGCAGCATGTGAGAGAAAGATGTCATGCAACAGGCTTCAAGTAGGGTTTTTTTTTTAATTAGGGAAAGGGATTATTAAAATGGGAAAGAGAAGGTGGGAGACAGGCCTCCAGAGATAGTAGCAGCAGGAGACAGGAGAAAGGAAAGGGGGACAGACAGAGGGGAACAGGTAGAGAGAGGGAGAAAAAGAGAGAGGGAAGGCTGGGAGGTAGGTAGGGCCCTTTAAAAAGGGAATGTAGTCAATGTGCACAGGTGGTGCTCTTAGTGGCTGCAGCTGAGTGCGTGCGTATCCTGTCAGAGCCCCAAGAATAGGCCAATACAGAGATGTCTGAATACTAACAGGGATACCTTGCTCAGCCTGGATACATGGGGGAGGACCTTAGTCCTGTCTCAAGTGATGACAGACTTTGTTGATTCCTCATGGGAGGCCTCAACCTTTCTGAGGAGTGGATGGTAGGGGGGGTGAGTGAGGAAAATGTGGGGGAGCAGGAGGATAGGAGGATGAGTAAACTGGAATTGGTATGTAAAATAAGATGGTTTTAAAATAAAAAAATAAATTTAAAAAGAAGGTTAAAAAAGAATTCCTTGGAAACTTGGAGACACAGACCTGGCAACCGACTCAACCAAAGTTACCCGCTAAGTGGCCCAACAAAAATAAAATGATGATGTTTTTGGGAGGCAAATATATTGCTACAGAAAATAGGTACAAAATAAAGAACTTTGAGGAAAAGTTGTAGTCCATCATGAGAGAATTAACTGTGGCTGTATCCCATGGCTTTCCAAAAAGAACAGAAGTTCTGTTAGCAGGAGCATAACAGCTAAAACTCTACCGCCTCATATTCCCAGGTTTTGAAGAAAGAAAAGTAATATGAAAAGGTAGAGCAGGCAAACCGATAGTCACACGCCTCCTGCTGAGGTACCTAATACAAGGTAGTGTCTCTGAAATGCCCAACAATGTACCATGAGCAAGTCAGTTTGATAATCCTTCAAAAGTCTTGTTTGCACCTAAGCACCTTCCCTGTCCCCTTAACTCTTCTCCATTGCTATTCAGGCCTGGAGGAGCAAGAACAATAATTGTTAATTAGGAAATGCGTGGTTATGAAAGACAGAAGGCCATACCACACAGGTATTTCCTATGGAGGGGATGCTAATTTTGAGTGGAACTTGAATATCTTATTACAGTGCTGGAAAGCCACGTCCATCTGTTTGAAAACAACTTCTCACTGTGTAGCTCTGGCTGGCCTGGGGCTGGATGTATACACCAGATGTGGCTTAGAATGTACGGAGCTCCACCTGCCTCTTCCTCCAAGTGCTGAGATTAAAGATGTGTACCACCATCCCTGGTCAGCTACTTCCCTTTGTAAAAGAGATCAATCATTTAGGGAACAGCAGTGACTTCAGATGGGTTCTTGTGTCAAAGAAACAGGGAATCTGTCATGTCTTTGATCTTGTTGCAACTGAACCAGAATCTGAGCAATGGGTAGGTTTTCAGGGTCAGCTCTATGAGAAAGTAATAATGTTTTCTGCTTCTTTTGCAGTAGTCCTCAGTGAATATATGATTACCTAAGGAAACTAGAGTTATGACCAGGGATGAGGAGGATGAGGAAAATGGCTTAAAATGGCAATTAGAGCAAGCTCAAGATGTAAGGTTAACCAGGTCTACACAGTCCAAATCTACACAGTCCAAAAATAACACAGTCTGGTCTCTGATAGCTAGGGCTCTTTAATGTAGTCAGCTCAGGATCTCAGTAGTCCTCCTTCTCTCACAGAAAATCATTCCCAGAGATGAGGCTCCATTGGAAAGGATGGCAGAGAGGACTTTACGAAACTGAATGTTGGCTATTTGCATTATTGCTTCTCATCTTTTGGGGCAAGACTTATTTCTCATATAAAACTAAAGTTAGTAAACAATTATGATGGAGTCCTCTCTGGTGTGAGCATTATTTTCAGACAGGAACTAGGGCCTAGGCCATGATTTGGAGAATCTGGTTGTTGACTATCTCATTAAGCATGGGGCAATCAGAACTTCTGTGAAATCCCTTCTCCCTTGGAAACTCTCAGCACACCAGTACAGTTGGTCTCCACAGCTTCCCAAGAATTACATTAAGGCATTGACGTAGGCAAAGTTTATGTGCAGTAGAGCTCCTATGATCAGCAACATTAACTTATCACTCTATCTTCTAAAAGCTGATAGAAAAGGAGGAGAGGAGAGACTTGCCAGGATCACCTACCTATGCACCATTAAAACATAGCTAAAATATAAGAGGCAATGGATACAATAGATGAAAGCATCTAGGAAGCTAAAACACGAATATCTCAGTTCACTCAGTCAGCTCCTCCATGTTGGCAATAAGGAAAACAGAACAAGCGCTATCTATAAGAAAGACAATATTGTAGAAACTTTTATATCTATCTATCTATCTATCATGTGTGTATGTATGTATGTGTGTATGTACACATGTGTATGGGTATGTGGGTAAGGACGTCAGGGGATGGTTTGCAGGAGCCAGTTCTCACCTTCCCGGAAACATGCACCATTATCTGCTGCGCAGCCTCACTAGCAAAAGTCAACCCGTTAAAAGACCATGGTGTTAAAAGACAATCTTTACAAATATTTAATATAAATGAAATATTTTTGGATGGTACCTTTGATTTTCCTCCATATTTAAAGTGTTTTACCTGAGATAGGGGGTTAGGTTTGATTGACTGGCCAGACACTATGCCTTCCATTTTTGTGTAGATTCTAGGAATCAAATATGGGTTCTCATGCTTACAAGGTAAGTACTTTACCAGCCGAGGCATCATGCTATCCTAGTTCTTCTTGCTAATGTACTGCCCGCATTCTTTCTTCAGGACTATTGTAACAAAGCAGTATAAACAGCATGGTTTCAGACACTGACAAATTTATTGTCGTGCTGTGCCAGCAGCTCTGTCTGCTATCAAGGCACAGTCAAGGTGGTTTCTTTTGATCATCAAGAGACAATTTTTGCCCAAGCCTTTGATGACATAATTGTAGTGTTTGGGACTCTTTGACTCCCAAATTGTAACCATGATCTCTGCTCTCATTTCTAGAATATAATACCTTATGGGCTGTGTTAAAATACTCTCTCTATACAAGCAATTCATTCATATTTACTTAAAACTTCATGAACTAAAATAATCTTAACTGGTTACACCTAATTACTGTATTTCCAAATAAACTCACATTTAGTGGCAAGGACAATTGGGATTGCAATATATGAATGAATTTGGAAGAGGCGCAGCTCAATCTATAATGCTAAAGTCTGATAGCTAAGGATTATCAGAACCAAACTGCATGAATGACAGGCACTACATTTCTCTTCTTTGTTTTTTGCATTACCTATTTTATTGCCCACTATTAGCATGTAGCTTAAAAATCATACTTCCCATAAAATTAACAACCAAAATAGCATTATTTGTCCATAGTTTCTGCCATTTCCAAGTATCTTATTAAAAAGTCATATTCATCTGTTTGAAATTGTTTCTTAAGGTATTCATTTTCATTTTGTACATATTATGCCATATTTGCATTATTATGACATCATTAAACTATTTATCCACACGTTCCTATAGAAGGTGTGAATGAGAATGCTTAGGCCATGGGCTCCTCTATTTTTGACAATTCTGCATAATTTTCTCTAAAATTTGATTAAATCAATAGTATAAAATTTATGACCATATAAATATTTTTATGGCTGAGCTGAGTTGTGAATTATGAGAGCAATTTCTTTCTTATATA